GTTCTGCTCAAAAGTAGCCAAAGTCATCTAACTGAATGTATCAAAGTCACTCAAAAGTGCTCTTAGAGACGTTACATGAGTGAGGGCAGCTCATACCACTGGGTGTTCAGATAGATCCCAGTGACTTTGATACACCCCCCTGCTCTATTCCCTTCACTAGGGTAGTTTTGGTCTTCTGATCTGTCTGTTACTTCCTGCCTGCAGCTATGGACCTCCATTGTGTGCTCTACCACCCAAGGTAGTGACTTGGTCCTTGATTTCCTGGCCCCATTTGTGATGCCATCGTGCATGGAAAACAATCACGGAAGTCAACAATTCTGGGTAGGCCCCATTTTCTTAGCATCTTTGTTCAGGAAGTCATCCCTGCAAAGAGTGGTTTTAATTCAAATATTTTTACATAATTCAAAGAAGAGGTTAATGTTGAAGTGCTGGTGACTTTCCTTGGCCCCCTGACAGTCCTTAAATGCAAATATTTGAAGAACGGCTCTCACTGTGTTAATCGTCCAGCTTGAAGACTCTCTTTCCTGGAGACGCAATACAAAGAGAAGCCCAAAGGAGAACCAGGTTTTCTCGGCAGTGGGATCCTGGCTATGCAGTACCTTTCCTAAAGAGGCTCCCTGGGCTCCAGCATTGCCACCTTTTCAGTGTGGAGCAGCACATTCCTTCCATGCAGGAACTTCAAGGTGGCACAACCTTTGCCAGGTCCAGCCTGAGACTGGGAAGATCCTCAGCCAGAGAGTTCTTCTGGATGACTTGGGGTGAGTCTCTTTGTCAGCCCAACCTATTCACTGCTTGAGGGAATACAGTGAGCCTTATCTGGTTGGAGCTTGAAGGATGAGATGCTGAGTCTACTACATTGCGTTTCGGCAGAAAATGCAAGATAGAAGCAAGAATACCAATGTGCTTCTTCATATACATTCACCCTTATACATGTTTCACTCATGCAAAGCTCGGGCACACACTTAAAAGAAAACTTCCATAACCCAAATCCCAGACCTATGTAGGTGGAATCTAAGTTTCTTCCGTGGAAGATATAAAGTCTTTGCCCAGCTGCAGAGCTCCAGCATCATGCTCAAGAACGAAATAGGGCTACCCGAGAAAAGGCATTGGGTGACTGCGTTGGCATGGAGCACACGTCTTGGTGTGCTTTGACATGGTTTATTAGATAAACCGTAATTAGCATACCGAACTAAAAGGGCCACAGTCTTGTACATCCGGAGGGCCTACCGTTAGGGATGGGGGATAGGGGTGAAGTTTGCAGTATGGCCTCAGGAGTTTGAATGAATGACTGGTGCATGGAGATGACATGAGAAGAAATTAGGAAAAGCAGGGGAGGCTTATTCTGATACTCAGTTTTGCACCCATCCCAGTTCCTTCCTCATGCACTGTGTAACTTGCACCACAGAGATACAAGCCTGTGTCACCAGGCTGAAGACCTGTCAGATCCAAACTCATTTTCTTCTTTCCTGCTTCCCACTTTGCTTTTAGCCGGTTCGTCCACTTCTCTGGGCTATCTTCAAGGTTTGTTTTATAAGAGTACAAGACCCCAAGCCCTTCTAGCTCTGTCTTTCCAGGTGCTTGGCGATACCAGCAGATATCATAGTTTGTGCCATCAACAGAACAGCTGAAAGAAACATTTCTCCCTGGCAAGCGTTTGACAAAGGGTGGAGTCTGGGTCACTGTCACGGCAGAGCCACTGCCCACAAATGCTGAAGAAGAAGGAGAGAAAGATAACGGAAGGTCATCTGGAGATGCTAGCAGGGGGCCCCGGACACTAAGACGGAATGAGGTCAATGGAGGACAGTGAAATCTGGAGGAAAACTGGGTTGTGCTGAGGGAAGGGGTCTGGGCCCCTTTCCCGGCACTTACCACACCAGAAGGCAAGGAGGAAATGGAAGAAGCAGAGTTCAGGCACCCCATAGCCGGAGGGAAAAGGTGCTGCACCCATTTCAGCCTGGGGCTGCTAATGCAGCAGCTTGGGAGAGATCAGAAGCTGCTGGGGTTCCGGTCACGTGCTGGCAATGGGGGGGGGGCGGGGGGGCAGGCCTGCCTGGGGCTGGCAGAGGAAACCGGATGCCCCCTGCCCCCAGAGGTATAAGCTCCTGAGCTGGGGAGGAAACAAGAGCAGAGCCTGGGCAGACGTGGGAGTCCAGCCTGGCCTTCCTGTGGAGGGTTTCTGCTGCTTGGAGAGTGGTTGGTTTGCTACACCTGCTGGCTTGGTTATTAATACTTCTAAGGGCAAGGGCACCCATGGTTTGCGTTGTCCCTTCAACAGTGAAGGCTCTAGATACCCAGCCAAAAACCTTTCTGTGCTTGTCCAATCACATTGGGCAAGAGTTAATTTGGCTTTGAACTCAGTTCCCAATATCCTTCTTCTGAGCATCTTGTCTTTTTTCTCACTGTCAGTAAGTGTCCTTAAGGCTGCAGGAATCAGGTTGGAAATGTAGAGGTGATGGCTATGAAATCTCAGAAGAGTTTGGGGGGTCAGTGACATTTCAGTGTGTAGAGGACAGTTCTAATG